AACTGGATCATCGAAGGTCAGAAGCAAAGACATTGGTTAATAGAATGGGATTAAATACATAAAGGATATTTATGTTGTTTAACATTTATTTATTGCAGGTTTGCGTCATATTCAGAGTTGCATTATTTTTATTCATTTTGAGGAATACTGAATCTGTGTGGTTTTTGTGAGTGAGATGAATTAATGCATATTCATATTTATTTTAGAACTACAGTAACATCTTCTGATTTCTCTCAACATGGGGACAGGAGAGCTGTCAATCAATACATTGGGGGGAAAAAAGTACTTATTTGAAAAAGTAACTCAGATATTCTCTTGTAAATTAAAAAGTAATGCGTTACTTTACTAGTTACTTGAAAAAAGTAATCTGATTACAACTCGCATTACTTGTAATGCGTTACCCCCAACACTGTATATATATATATAGTATTATTAGGAAATTATTATTAGAAAAACGTAATTTTTATAAACAGAAATTATTATGTAACTATACTAATTATAATATTGTACAGAAATGCACAGGTAACGTTTTTATATTTATATCAATATTTGTCTGCAAAACTAATTTCAAGCATTTCGGCGGAAGCCTTTACATCTTAATGTCTTTCAGATCATTCAGTCAAGTGTATCAAAACATTGGGCTGGTATTATATTTTAGAATTTTGCAATAACAAATTAAAGTTTGTCTTTCCACAGAAACAATTGACTAACAGATTACATTCTCCTGAAAAAAATAAAAATAAATTCAAATCATGCCTTTGCTTGTTAAAAGGCATTCAGAGACAGACTGCTGTCAACAGTGTTTTAAGGTGAGTCTATTTCAAAATCATCTACCATGATTGAAAGACTTGGACAAGAGCTTTTCTGGTCATGTGACAGTGCGTTCTGTTTCATCTTTTGCACTGACTCTCTGCTGACCTCGTAAGAGTGGTTCATTTGTAACGCTGGTTGGCAACCATCAAACTCGTTTAGCCACTGCAGCGACACGACTGTCTCTAATCTCAGCTCCACTAAACTCAGTCTGCACATCAGACAAAAGAAAGAAAGAAATGAAAAGAAAAGCGAAGTATTGAGATGCTTTTCATTGATGTCATTGTGTTGATTGCTCCTGAAAACACGGTGTGAATATGTCTGTGAGTCAAAAGCATGTTTAATGAAAAGCTGCACGCACGCACGCATGAACCGAACCGATCACTATCTCCTCCTGAGGAGAGAAAATTCAAGTTTTGACTGTAATCGGGAAATTCCATCTCAATTTACTGGCTGACGTCCACAGAATATCTCAGGCCACCGATATGGAAGAGGTCCACTTTACACCTCCCAGATTAAAAAAAAGAAAAAAAAAGTATGTGCGTCTGTATGTGCACAAAAACGTCATGATTATGATTTTCTGGGAGTTTAATGCAACAACTCCTCAAAAAAATAAAAAAATAAAATAATAATAATAATAATAAATAAATAAAAATATAATTGAATATAAAACAAATAAGTAAATAAATAAATAAATAATATAACATAAAAAACAAAACAAAATAATAATATAAAATGATATAATAATAATAAAAAGTAACAATAAAAAGCAAATAAAATCATAAATAAATGCAAATAAAATAAAATAAAACAAAAACAAACAATAAAATAAAACAGTTAACGGGATGAAAATGAGACAATTCCAATTAAATATTTTTAAAGGGTTGAGCAATTTAGAAGTTGTAAGTAAAAAATGTGTCTGTCTAAAAGTCCAATCCAGTCACACTTCCGCAGATCATTTACTTTAGACTGAAAAATCTGTCATCATCCACCCACTCTTGTGTCACTTGAAACTTTTCCTCATTGAACACAAAGGAGCTATTATCAAAATGGCATGTTTTTCAATGCAACAAAACTGCAACGATCACCGGCTGTCAAGGTCAGGTGCAGTCAGTGTTGGGAAGCTACTCTGAACACTGACTCTTGACCAGCTACAAGCTACTCGTAAATTAAAGTAGCTAAGCTACATTCAAGCTACCCTTCTGAAAAAGTAGCTAGCTACACTAAGTTACTATCAAAAAGTAGCTAGCTACATTAAAACTACTTTCAATTTTTTTTATTATTATTTTATTTTTACAATTAACATTACAAATAACTAATGACTATTAATGAAGATTTATAATGAAGTTATAAGTATAATAAAGTCAAATATTTGGGGTTTAAAACAACATAGTGTAATGCAATCATGATTTCACAGATTGATTGGGACACTTTTCTAAGCCATTTCAATGACAAAAAGTGTCCCAATCATTTGATTTTGTAAACTAGCCGATACACACAATAATAAAATAGGCTACTGTATAGTTATAGCCTAGTTACATTATCTTAAAATGACTGTCAAAGTGCAAAATTTCTACTAACGTAACATCAATGCAAGAACAAAATGTATGCAACTTCAACTGGATACGGAGGAGTCATATAATAAGAGAAGCAGGTTAAACTCACAGCTCATGTGGTATTTACTGACTGTGAATGGAGACGTCAATCATCAGCTGCGCGCGTGAACACTGCGCTTTGCGTGAATCCCACCGCAACCATCCTTTGCCAAAAGCACACTATAGCGCGATTTTATTTTTTGTTCGATTAGTGTTTATTACAAAACTGTGGGGCACAGATTATATTATGACCGTTCATCATAGACATTTGATCTAGAGTGCAATAAAGAAGAAAACATTTTCAGCTTAAAAAGACTATTATTCACCTCCTGTATGTGCTTTAAGTCTTCGATGTAGGCTAGACCGCTTTGTTTTGCGTAAATTACAGTTGATTCTTGTGAAATATCTCGTGACCAGAGTTGCCAAGTCCGCGTATTATACGCGACTTTGGGCTTCTTTTTTTGTAAAGTTGCGTGAAAAAATCCCGGGTCGCAGTTTGCGGTTTTTTGGTCTTATTTTAAAAAATATGGTTGCTTGTTAGGAAAACCTGACAAGCAACTTCTTTTCTTTTCATTTATGTTCACTGTATTCTCCAATGCATTGATTGACACTCTGTCTGCTCACAGTTAATAGCCAATCAGTGCAAAAATATAAGTGCTGTAGCGTAATTTGTCAAATATTCCTCCCCCTCCGCACGCTCTTCAGCAAATAAAATCATAAATAAATGCAAATAAAATAAAATAAAACAAAAACAAACAATAAAATAAAACAGTTAACGGGATGAAAATGAGACAATTCCAATTAAATATTTTTAAAGGGTTGAGCAATTTAGAAGTTGTAAGTAAAAAATGTGTCTGTCTAAAAGTCCAATCCAGTCACACTTCCGCAGATCATTTACTTTAGACTGAAAAATCTGTCATCATCCACCCACTCTTGTGTCACTTGAAACTTTTCCTCATTGAACACAAAGGAGCTATTATCAAAATGGCATGTTTTTCAATGCAACAAAACTGCAACGATCACCGGCTGTCAAGGTCAGGTGCAGTCAGTGTTGGGAAGCTACTCTGAACACTGACTCTTGACCAGCTACAAGCTACTCGTAAATTAAAGTAGCTAAGCTACATTCAAGCTACCCTTCTGAAAAAGTAGCTAGCTACACTAAGTTACTATCAAAAAGTAGCTAGCTACATTAAAACTACTTTCAATTTTTTTTATTATTATTTTATTTTTACAATTAACATTACAAATAACTAATGACTATTAATGAAGATTTATAATGAAGTTATAAGTATAATAAAGTCAAATATTTGGGGTTTAAAACAACATAGTGTAATGCAATCATGATTTCACAGATTGATTGGGACACTTTTCTAAGCCATTTCAATGACAAAAAGTGTCCCAATCATTTGATTTTGTAAACTAGCCGATACACACAATAATAAAATAGGCTACTGTATAGTTATAGCCTAGTTACATTATCTTAAAATGACTGTCAAAGTGCAAAATTTCTACTAACGTAACATCAATGCAAGAAATGCAACTTTGCAACTTCAACTGGATACGGAGGAGTCATATAATAAGAGAAGCAGGTTAAACTCACAGCTCATGTGGTACTGTCTGACTGTGAATGGAGACGTCAATCATCAGCTGCGCGCGTGAACACTGCGCTTTGCGTGAATCCCACCGCA